TAAGGTTATGCTGGGTTCCTCAAAAAGTGTTCTCTCCCCTTCTAGTTTCTAGAACAGGTTGTGTAGAATTTGTTTTATTTACTCTTTAAATTTTTGGTATAATTCAGCAGTGAAATTCTTTGGGTGAATTCAATTTCTTTAATACAAGATCATTATCTATTTGATCTCAGGCGAATTATGGTTATTTTCCTAGGAGCTTTCTAGTTTTACCTTCACATTTGGATTATATCACCTTGAATTAACTTGTGTGCTGTGAGATAGGGGTCAAGACTCATTTTTCCACATATGTTTATCTAATTTGTTGGCACCACTTATGTAAAATGATTATTATTTACTGACTATTCAGCAGTGCCATCTTTGCCATAAATCAAGTATCCATATATGTATGGGTTTTTATGGACTCTTAATTCTATTCCGTTGGTCTACCTGTCTATCTTAGACAAACTCCCTTAGTTGCTGTAGCTTTATAAGACTCAGTATCAAGGAAAGTAAGTCCTCCTGCTTTGTTTAGCTTCAAGATTTTCTCAGGTTTTTTTCTTTGACTTTTCTACTCCTGTAAACATTTTAGAAACAATTTGTCAATTTCTAGCAAAAAGGGAGAAAAATATTGTTCCCAGCAGGAAGGGTGGTCAAAATTACTTTATTCAACATTACTGGAGGTGAAATACATTTATTCTATTTTTAAGTTTTTTAAAATTTGATGAGACACTTTGGTAGGCAAGGTAGCATGAAAAACACCTGTTACTTAAAATAAGATACATTTTTAAATCTAAAATTCAACTGATGAGGGGAAGGGAAAGGAAATCTCTGGTGCCAAAAATATTGAGAAACGACAACCCCCAAATTAGTAAGAATTACAAATAATAGAATCAAATATGGAATTAGGCAGTTTTGGGAAATACAGGATTTTGAATATAAAATAAGTAGTTTTATTGTATTTAAAGAAATAAATGAGAAATTGAAAGTTGGATTAAGTAATAAGATTTATTTTAAATGGCCAAGTAGATTGTAAAACACAATTTACAACTTGTAGAAGTAAAAATAAGGATGACATTAGAAACTCAGTGGATGAGATAAACCCACTAAGCACAAAGAGTGAAGGAGTTACTAATAAATCAGAACAGGGATTTAAAAACATATTAGGAGAATATGAAAGAAATTTGAGACATGGAAGACAGAATAAGAAGGTCAAATATTTGTATAGTCAGAGTTGTTGAAGGAGATCATAGAAAAATAAGAGAGAAGCAGTAAGTCAAGGGATAAAGCAGGTTAGTATGATAAAATATTAGTGGAGTATACATGGTGGGTGTATTTTCTTTAATTTGGCTGATTGCTTGAAAAATTTTATAATAATAAGCTTAGAAAATCCCTACAAAAGTGAAATGAATAAAGGCAAGAACAGAAACTAACAAAATAACAAAATCAGAGAGGATCAATACAGCTGTAATTGGCTCTTTAAAAAGAGTCAAATTTAACAAAACTAATAAAAAACATATGAATACAAGTAAATAATATTAAGAATGAAAAATAAATAATAATTGCAAATACATGAGAGATTGACATAAGAGAATATTGTGAACAACTCTATACAAATAAATTTGAAAAGTTTGGCAAATTCTCTGGATTAAAAAAATCAAAAATTGACTCAAGTTGAAGTAGAAAACCTGAATGTTTGTGTGGCCATTAAAGACACTGAATCCATAGGAATATTGGTACTACAAAGGATCACAAGGCCCAAAAAATTTGACAGATAGTTTTTACCAAAAAGAAGAGACAAGTACAATCTTGTATAGACACCTACGAGGAATGGGAGAAGAGGATATTATCCAGCTTACTTTATGAAGCTAAAATAATATTATAACAAAACAAATAGCAATTACATAAGTAGAAAGTTGTAGGCCAGTATTACTCATGGATGCAGATTTTAAAATCCCAAAGAAGAATATGTCTAACCAAATACTTGTACACAAGTGTTCCTAGAAGCATTTTTTCATAATATCCTAAAAGGGAAAACAACTCAAATGATCACCAACTGAGGAATCTGTTAATAAAATGTAGTATAGCTGTACGGTGGAATATTATGCAGCCATAAAAAGAAATAAAGGACTGATACATGAAACAATGTGCATGAACCTCAGATGGAAGATTGACCCCAAGCCTCCGGTTTCTCTCCACTCCCAAACACCCTCTAAAATAACAGCAAAGAAATGTGTTAAAGGCATAAACCCACAAAGATATGACGAATTGGAGACAAAAATAGCAGTTACGTATTGGAAACTGGAAAGCAGGTGGATATGGAGGAAGGCAGAATATCCGAAGAGTTTAGGAATTGTCCACAGTAGGTAGTTCTGAAGTAGGGCTGAAGGGAAAGTGAAAGAAGGAGTAATGGTCAGAAGCATCAGGTAAATCCCAAGATCCCTTCCCTCACTCCATGGAGTGAACCACTGTGACTTTCCATCCCCCATCGTATAGAAAAGTTAAAGTGTAGTCTCTCTGGAGAGGGTAAAGCAAAGGGGATACTAGACGTATTTGAGTTGACCATGAATACTATACTAACAACAAGGTGATTAACTCAGTAGGCATGATGGCTATGCAACTCCAGAGTTGACAAACACCATCCGTGTACACAAAGCTTCACATTAGCTTTTTGGTCTGTCACTCATAAGCATAAGCAACAGTCAATGACTTCATGTGACATTTCAGGAAAGCTCTAGCATGGAAGATTGAGACCAAAACAGATTGGATGAAACAAGAACTATGCTAGGACGAAAGGCCTTTTTATTTATTTATTTATTATTTTTAAAGGAGAAAAATGATACGTTATCTTACTAGATGTGGGAAAAGCATTTGATAGAACTCAACATCTATTCATGAAAAAATCTATTAGTAAACAAGGAATAGAGGAATTTTCTTTAACCTCAAAACAAATGAAAAATGAATCCACTAGAACCTATAGTACATATCATACTTAGTGGTTAAGCACTAAAAATATCTCCTTTAAAATCAGGCTCAAAACAAAAATGATCTCTTTAGCTATTTCTATCCAGCATTGTATTTGAAGTCCCATCTAATGTTAGAGGACAAACTAAAGATACAAAAGGAGTAGTAATTAGGAAGGAAGGACAAAGACAAAGAGTGATTATTCGTAGATAATGACAACTCAAAATAATCTACTTAGAAATAATTAGAATTAATAAGTTAGTAAAATAAATAATCACAATAAAATGTACCAAGGTTGCTGGATATAAAATCAAAATACACAATCCAGTTGAATGTCTATATAATGGTAACAAACAGAAAAAAGAATTTAAACAAAACTTCCATTTACAGTAACAAGAAACTCTAGGTATTTAGGGATAAATCTAATAAAAAAACATTGTGGAGAAAACTATTAAAACGTATTGAAAGCCATTAAGGAGAATAAAATAAGTGGAAAAGACATTATCTTACCAGTTCCCTAACAGAGATTTTTGAGGAACTTTGAAGCTGATTCTAAAAGGGTCAAGATTACTCAAGACATTCTGGAGTTATCCATGTCAAGTAGAAACAACAACAAAAGTGGAATGAATTGTATTTCTATTGCACCACCATATACAACATAAAAATCACTTCAAGTGAGATTATTGCTTAAATGTGAAGCAAATCATTCAAAACTTTATAATGTCAGGAAAAAATATAGGGAAATAAACTATGACCTCAGCATAGGGAAGGATTCCTTAAACAAAACACAAGTGCAAGCCATACAGGAAAAGATTGACATATTACATTAAAAGTATTTCTTACTTTTAAGAAATACCATAAAAAGAAATGAAAAGACAAGTTACAGACTGCAACATACTAGGGTAAGTAAGAAAAATACACAAATAATTCGATACAAAAATTAACCAGAAACAAGGCAAAAAAAAAAACCCAAACGGGCAATTCACGGAAGAGAAATAAACAGATGACCCTTCAACATAGGAACAGGTGCTCTTGCTAATTAATAATTAGGGGAATGGATAATGAGACCACAGTAAGATGCAATTTTACCTGTCTCAGGTAGGAAAAACGGTGAAGTCTGACAATACAATAGAAGTTCTTACACACTCCTGGTACATATGTAGATTGGTTCACTCTGGAAAATAGTTTGGTGTTATTTAGTAAAGCTCAAGATGCTCACATCCTCTAACCCCATGATTCCATTCCCAAGTAAATGCCCTAGAAATTCTCCCACAGGTGCATGAATGCCCATGGCAGCATTGCTTTTCATAGCCCCCAAACTGGGAGCAACTCAAATATCCTTTGATGGCGGAATGGTTGAATAGGTCATGCAATGGAATATCTGACCCAGTGCAAATGAGTGAAATACAAGTGAATGTGGGGTACCTAATGTTGAGCACAAAACCGAAGTCAACCAAAACAGACAGTGTGATTCTGTGGATATGACATTCAAAAACATGCAAAATGAAACAGTCTGTTATTTAAGGATTCTTGCATACTCATGAAACTATATTTAAAAATAAAAGGAGTGGTAAGCACAAAATTCAAGGTAGTATTTCACCTCTTAGGAGGAGAAGGAGAGATGGTAGAGGGGAAACAGCTTCAAAGATATAGACTGGCAGCATTTCACTTCTAAAGCTGGGTCAGGAGTTTAGCCTGTGTTATAAATGTATTTGCGATGCCTTCACAAGAACTTTAATAAGTATAGTTCATCTTTTCAGGGTTTAATCTCTAAAGTATCACAGGCCTATCAGATTCTGAAGCAAATTCTGTTTTGAGTGAATTTTGGCAAAGTGTTTCTATGCTGAATAGTGGTATGGTTTCATTGTGAAGACCAAATTGGCTGCATTCTGTCTAAAATTACAGTTCTCACTCAGATATGCAGGCTGGTCGACTCCCGTCTCAGCAGACTATTCTGTTACTGTCTGACGGCAGCTGCTTGGCTGAAGCCACAACTTGCCTTCCTTCCCTTGAGCAACCGATAGACATGATTAATCTAACTCCTGTGATGTTGTTCCTAGGAGGAGCACCGAACAGCCAGTTCCCTGAGCAGTGGTGCTCTTATGTGGACAAAGAAATTCAGCCTAGATTATTTGGCTCTGGACTTCAATTCAGCATCACCAGCCCCCTTGCAGCAGGTAGGAAAGGCTTTGCATCTGAGAATTCCCAGGTGATTCCATTTCTGCCTAGACTTTTCTGATTAGCAAACCATGGATATTCTCCTTAGAAACTGTTAAAAACGCAGAATATTAAAATCAGCCCTAATCCCACCTCCCAGTGAGAATGAACTCTTGGTTGATTTCTTCCTAAGGTGTGTTTTTTGTGATACTTACAAATGTATGTGATAGTCACAGTTCAAAATTTGGACCATAAAGTTTATAGAAAAATATCTCATGCTTCCCATGCACTCCCTTACATTGTACAGCGATATTAATTCATAGCTATGATAACTTACAGGTATTAACTCCCTTGCAAAAACCTGATATGAGACTGCAGAAAAGCTGGTCAGAAGGGTGGGAGTGATAAGTATAAAAGAATCATGAGTCAGTTTTGGTAGACTATGCGCTCAAAACAACCCCCAAATCTCTTTTGCTTTCAACACAAAGGGTCTTTTATTGCAGGCCATCTGAGATGTGCCGAACTCCTGGCAGAATCACCTCTTTTCTCATTAGGATTGGAACATGTCACTTTCTTTTTGTTGTTGTTTTGTTTCTCACTCTGTCACTCAGGCTGAAGTGCGGTGGCACGGTTTGATATCCTGGGTTCAAGGTATCCTCCTATCTCAGCCTCCCAAGTAGCTGGGACTACAGTTGCGTACCATCACTCCCAGCTGTTTTTTATTTTTGTAGATGTGGGGTCATGTTTTGTGGCCTAGGCTGGTCTTGATCTCCTGCCTTGGCCTCTATAGTAGTCCATTCTCATTCTGCTATGAAGAAATACCTGAGATGGGTAATTTATAAAGGAAAGAGGTTTAATTGACTCACAGTTCAGCATGGCTGGGGAGGCCTCATGGAACTTACAATCATGGTGGAAGGGGAAGCAAACATGTCCTTCTTCACATGGTGGCAGGAAGAGCAGTGCAGAGTGAAGCGGGGAAAGCCCCATCATGTCTCCTGAGAACTCACTCACTGTCATGAGAACAGCATGAGGGGAACTGCCCCGTGATTCTCTTCCCTCTTACCAGTTCCTTCCCAGTGAACATGGGGATTATGGGAAGTACAGTTCAGAAGGAGATTTGGGTGGGGGCACAGGCAAACCATATGAGCCTCCCAAAGTGCTGGAATTACATGCACATGCTACCATGCTCAGCCGTGTCACTTCCACTCACATTATATTGGTCAAAGCAAGTCAAGTGGCTAGAGCAAAACTGAGGAAAGCAGTGGCGTGCACACATACATACAAAGGGAAGGGCAATAAATATTGAGCGATGGTAATTGAATACGAAAGGGTAAACATTTTCCTGACATTTTAAGTTACATGTAATGAAAACCTTTTTGTTCTCCTCCTTCAGAAACTTCTCCTTTCAGAAGAACAAAGAGTAGACTATGTTCAGGTGGATGAGCAGAAGACACAGGCTCTCCAGAACACAAAACAGGAGTGGACGGATGAGAGGCAATCCAAAGCATGAGAGGTGCAGTCTCGCGCCGTGTGTGCAACGGGAAGTGTGGGGTTTCTTTCTACTAAAAACATACTGATGGTCAACGCAGGTTCAAAACCAAGAGAGAATATGTAGTTGTCAAGGTCTTGGCCATAACCTTTAGGAAAGAAGACCTGTTTATACATTGAAAGAAGAAAAGAAGGAAGCAGTTGCCTTCTGGAGGGGGCTCTGAGAGAATCTAGCCTCTCCCCTGCCCTATCAGAGTGAGTGTTGCCACCAACAGAATTCTATTGTTTGCTTCTAATACCTGAAATTCTGACCTCTCTCCTGTGCTTCAATAAGAATAATAAATTATCCTAGCAAAGGGGCATCTGGAGACCACCTTGTTCCAGACTCTGAAGACAGTTGAGGAGATTGAGCCCAGTGATGGTGGCAGAATCTTACTCCAAACACTTCAGCAGACTAGTCATTGCAATCCCCAAAGAAAGACAAGTGACAGTGGCAATGGATCTCAGACTCTGAGATAGGTATATCAGATGACACTGATGGCTTTAAGGACATTGTAGCCAGGGATTCTGCTGCTCTTGGCTTTTTCCCAGGCATCATCTCATCTCTTCTCTGAAAGACCTTGGAAGATAGGCATGGAAGAAAAGAACACTGAGAACTAGAGGAGGGAATGCTTCGAGACCCAGAGTCAGGCTTAGAAAAGAGTTGGCCAGGCTCATTCCACAACCTCATACTTCCTCTGAGGATTTTGACAAAATGTATCAGTTGGGTGAGCCTTGGAGACGTGTGGGAAACACCTGCAGACACAGGATGAGTACTCATCCTCTCTCCCTTTCATAGGGATCCAAACAGGTGCTTGATACTTGAAAGGTATGCATGTCAAGTGAGGGTTTCTTTGTGCAATGTTCAACTGGAATTCCATATTCAGCAGTTTCAATGAGAAATACCTACTGATCGTCAGTCGGAAGGCCATTCTCATGGTCCCTTATGCAGTGTGTTTCCCTGTGAGCTGCCTAATGGTAGCAGACGAATGTTTACGGCCTTGGGGAAGGCATAGGTGGTCCTTGGCTATCGTATGATGGATCCAAGCTTTGGAGTGATAGATAAAAGTGACCAGGAAGAAACCTATGAGTTCCATTCTTAGATTTTCTAGCTAGTTGCTCCCTTCCGCATCATGTCACCCCTTCCTTCACAGGTCCTGGGGTCCAGGAGACTCAGAATGAAGGTGTCATTTGGATGTGAAGTGCTATTTAAGGCCCATGATAGTGCAGCTGGGGCAGTTGTATGCTTTGCTACAGGCACATAAATGCCAAAGTCTTAGTTTTTCAGTTCATACAAGAACTCATTTTGATTTTCAAAGAAGCAGGCTCTGCTGACATTATTTTCTTATTTGGACAACGTGGGGGACATTTTCTAGTATTTTAACTGAGTTCAGGGTACTTAGTGAGCCTGGACAGAGCAAGGAGAGGGCTCCCCACTCCCAAAGCCTGCAGCCAGCTATTCATCACTGTACACAGCCAGAGCCTGTGAGGAGCTGCCTTCTTCCTCATGTGACTTGCAATGAATCTCAGGCAAGAAGCCAGGGCTTCAGACTACTAGTTCCCATGGAGGGTAGTTTCCCCATGTGTGGGCCACTTGTGTTAGCATCATTGATTATCTGACAAGAACCACGCCAGATTGTAGACAGAAAAGAACAGCTGAAATTATGTCAGTAGTGAAATGGCACTCAATTGAACCCCACAAAAGAGAAAAGAACTCTGTTACTACAAATCATTTCCAAAAACGTATTTATAGCATGAAGAACTACACACATGGGTAGTGTGACCTGTTACTTAAAAACGGAATGCTCTGAATAGGCACTCTCTACATTAAAGGTATGGAAGGTGACAGGGGTCAGAATTCTAACTCACTCCTCATTTCCAGGGTGTATGCAATCACGTCCTGCTTTGATAAAACTGCTAGAGGATGGCTATACAAAAGCCTAACGATTTAAGGAATCAGCAAAGGCACCATGAGCCAAAAGATTGGTTTTGTTGGAGATGATCAATGTGTGTGTGTGTGTGTGTGTGTTTCTGACCAAGGGCCTGATGTTTGTTACAGAAATGATCCCAGACACCTACAAGATGTGGGAATCAGCATTGTTATGCAGTTAACCCCGCATTGTTTTCTGTAGTTCCTTTTGTTTCATTTTCTTCTGTCTTGTTAGAAAATTCCTCCAAATCAGGGGTTGTCCAGTGCAGGACAGGGAACCCAAGAGTCTCAAGCCTGCAAGTCCAGAAGGTGACAAACCCAGGAGCACTTGGAGTTAAGCTTTCCTTGGAGAAGAAGAGCCTTGAGATCCAGCACACAGTGTGGCTATAAAGGCATGAAGCATCAGCCAAATCATGACCTTCAGGTCTGAGCTGAAACTGAAGGTTCTCTTCAGGCCTGGCTCTTCCCTCAGTCCCTGTTCATACCACCTCTGCACCCACAATCACACTGACTTTTCAAATTCATTTTGTTTTTACAATTTCATTTCTGGCATTAATAAAAGTCTTATAAGGAAGAATCAGGACTGAAGTTTTTTAAGTGATGACATGCGATATAACTCACGTGCAGGTTATTTCACTGCAAACATCTCATTTTTTTAATTTCTTCATTGGAAACTAGCTTCATGCAAGGTCGCGTTATACATGATGTCAAGGTGAGCAGTTGATTTTACTGCAAATTACTGAAGCTAGTTTCCAATGCCGACCTAGGCCTGCCTCTCCCTAGAAGGGGTCTCTAGCCGCCACCTCCCTTTTCCCCATAGCTGAGTCTCCCAGATGTCCTGGGTGCTGGGTCAGTGGCATCTCTAGGCCATGAAGCAAGGAAGGGACAAACAAAGTAGGGAGGGGGACAGGCTCAGGTTTGGGGAAAAGAGTCCAAAGGCATAGAGAGAACAGGCCTGGGAGATCCCAGGGCCGAGAGAAAGGAGGAAAAACCACATGAAATTCCTCACCCCTGGTGAAGTATGAGGCCAATCATGAACACTTTTTCCCTGCACACACACTCTAGACCAAGTCTCTGACCCAGAAAGCAGCAGGTTGGCCCATAAGGCCAACTGAGACACTCAGACCCTCACATACATGGGCACTTGACCTTTAACAGAGTGGGCACTGGAGAGCCGCGGAGACTTGATGGCTGTGCAGGGTGATCAGGTGGACAAAATGATGCAGAAGGACAAAAATGAACCTTGACCCCACTCTGCTGCTACACACAAACACAGATTCCAGGCTTTAGAGGAGCCATTTTGCTTGTAAGCATGGTTGTCTGGTCTTTGTTTCATGGTCAAAGAACAAAACCAAATTGTTTTATATTTGTGTTTGTCTGAAATTTTGGATTATTTCAACTTTTTGTTCTTCAATTTGGGGCTCTTAATTCATTTTCATACTCTATGATGATAGAAGTCCTCTATTGGGGAGATTATTGATCATAAAGGGGCATGGGAGAACTTTCTGGAATGAGGGAAATGTTCTACATCTCAATCTGGGTAGTGGTTACATGGATGTATACATATGTAAAAATTTATCAATCTGTAAATTTAATATTTACACATTTTGCTATATGTAAATTCTACCTCAACAAACATGTTACCATGGAGGGAAAGAAGTCTCCAGGGGCATTAGAAAGTTAATGAAAAAACACAACGGTGGGATGTATTAGAAAAAGCTACGGAAAAACCTTTATTATCTTGGTTGTGGAAGACCTTCAGCAGCAAGGCACAAAAGACAGAAGCAAGAAAAGGAAAAGAAATATTTATTCCATTGACAATTCCACTCAATTCAACAAATATTTAATGATCATCTGCTACATAAGAGGTATTCACATAAGCAAGAGAAACACAGACGTCTTTCTTTAAGCTCATTCTGGCAGGATGTAGTGGGCAGTGTTGGTGTTCTGCCCACATCCTCTGGCACCCCTTTCTCTGATTCAATGTGCTCTTCCTTCTGAAGCCTACACCCCTGGAACTCCTTCTCAGAGGATAGCCCCTCAGCTCCTGGAGCTGCTCTACCTGCAAGAGGAGAGAGCTGGAAATGGCTCAGAATTCACTTTCCCTACCCTGGGGAACCTGGCTGAATCTTTCCTCCCTCTGGGATTCTTCTACTTCTTTGTCCTGCTTCCCTCACTAGGGGTTCCCAGCCTTTGGGGGACCCAATTTTCATACATTGCCTTCTTGAAAAATGGTTGCAACAATATTTTCTGTCTTGCTTGCTCTTCCAGCATCTAGCCACTCCCAATTAAGAGGTGGAGTCTATGTCCCATCATGTAGAATTTGGGTATACAGCAGAGGGGACTGACTTCTGAGGCCAGATCATACAAGATGATGCATCTTCCACCTGGTACTCCCTGCCCCGCTCTCTCTCTCTCTCTGTACACACACACACACACACACACACACACACACACACCCTTGGAATCCAGCCATTATGCTGAGAGGAAGCACAGGCCACATGGAAAGGAACCAAGTTGTTTGGCCCTCAGACTCTTCTGAGTGTTCCTAGCTGGCAGCCAACACAAAACTTCCCCCCTGTGTAAGACATCTTGAAAGCAGATTCTTCCAGCCTTCAGTTTAGCCACCCTAGCTGCTGCCACAAGGAGCAGACATGAGCCTTACTCCCAGCGACTGCCCGAACTGGAGATGCAAATGATCGTCGTCGTTTTAAGTTACTAAGTTTGGGGGTGGTTTGTTACATCACAACAGTTACTAGGTCACCAACTGCAGACAGGTGAGACAGGAAATACACTGTATTTTAGAAGGTGGCAAGTAGAATTGGGTGCACATTGGTCTGTGAGGAGGGCAGCTGCATGATGAAGCAGGGTGAGGAGATGAAAATTTAGAAGACTTAAAGGAGCTAAAGGAGAGGACCCTCACAGGTCAGAGAGGAACAGTGGCCGGCTATGTCTTCCATCCAACGCTGGGTCTGGCAAGGGTCATGGGGGCCTGGCAAGGGAGGCTTGCGCTAGGAGGGAATCGGGAAGGGGAATCCTGCAGCACTCTAGAGAGGGATCACAGTCTAGCTGTGGAGAGGAAGAGAAAAAAGTGTCATCAGAGGGGAATTTCAGGTTGAGGAGAAGCTGGTGGACTTGTTCAGAGTTCAGAGATTTCGACCCTGAACTGCACACAGGGTCCACAGAAGAGGACAGAGAGGCGAGGTGCATGGAGGGAAAAGCCCTGCTGGGAAGTGGGGGCTTTGCACAGGAGGAACTGGCCCCTTTTTCAGAGCTCAGCTCCAGGGGAGCTGTCTCCCCCAGATATTCATGGCTCTGGACTGAGATGCCACTTGTCAGAAGCATAAGTTGTGGCAGAAGCCGAAACAGATCATCAACCTCGTGTCCAGCAACAGCTAAGGGTGGCGGAATCAAGTACACCACTGGGGCTAGCCCTGAGGAGTGGGGAAATACTGAAATTGTGACTCCTATCAATGTTTCCTTCCTATATACTGTGGTTCTCTTGTTTGTTGTGTGTATTTTTATACTTGTTATGTCTCTTGTTCCAATTTGTTGACTTAAAGTCTATTTTGTCTGGTACAAAGTGAGCCTTATAGACAGTGTATTGTTTGGGCATATTTTAAATCTATTCTGTCAACCTCTGTCTTTTGATTAAAGAGTTTTAATTATTTAGCATTTAGGTGATTATTAATCAGTAATGTTTTATTTGTGCCATTTTGCTATTTGTTTTCTGTACAACTTGTACCTTTGTTTTTCATTTCCTCCACTACTGCCTTCTTTTGTTTTTAATTGGTTGCTACGTTTCCCTTCATAACTTACAGGTCACATTTGACCGGCTTCCAAATTAACCCACCTAGGGGAGGTCCTATGATTGATGGTTTACATCCTGTGTCTGAATTTGAAATTATGTTTTTGCGGGGTGGCCATGCTAATCTTCTCTGTATCCTTCCAATTTTAGTATATGTGCTGCCAAAGCAGCACTGAATTTGAAATTGTTATCATGAGTCCTTCAAATTGTATCTTGAGTCCCTCAAACTGTTGATGTACTTGTTAATATGTAACTTACTGACACTGAAAATGACTCCGATTTGTTTCTAAATCATGAAGTTTTGCTGATTTGTTTCTGAATAATGAAGTTTTACTGATTGTCTTGCACGTAGGCATTTTAGCCGATATGTTGAGATCTGTATATATTGATTGTACCCTTTGTATTGTACCCTTCAATGAAAAGGAGAAGTCTAGTATGAGTAGTCACCCTCCCTTCTTCTTCAGTTTCCCATGTTGTTATTGTCACAATCTCCATCTTTCTACATTTTGTGCATTAATGTAGATATATTTATGCTTTTTATTTTAAATCATGTGGGAAAAAAGACGAGTTACAAAGCGAAGAGACATTAATAACGACGTTTATGTTTACCTATATAGCTACTTTATACAAAGGACTGCTTCCAGCATTTCTTGTAGGGCAGGACTTCTAGTGGTTACCTCTATCAGCTTTTATTTTTTTGTGAATGTCTTAATTTCTACTTTCAACTTTGATAGAGGATTATTTGTTTTGCTTGCTCAAATCTGCTTTTGAAACCCTTTAATAAATTTTTTATTTGCATTCTTGCACTTTTCAGCACCAGAATATCTATTTGGTTCCTTTTTAAAAAAATAATTTCTACCTCTTTATTGAAATTCTCTCTTGTGGTTTCCTTTACTTTTTTAGCCACAGTTTCCTCAGCTCCTTGACCAAATTTAGAACTGTTGATTTAGTTTTTGTCTAGTTAGCTTTATGTCTCTCTGCTTCCTTATGGATAGTTTCTGTTCATTTTTTCGCTATGAATGGACAATACTTTTTGTTAATTTCCATGCGTCATTATTTTTTGCTTGAAATTGGACTATTCTTAATATTACAATGTGGTATTGTGAAAATCAGACTCTTCTGCCTTTCATTGTATTTTTTTGTCATGTGTAATCTCTAAAGTTTCTGTTAATTTAGCTTATGGTCAGCTGGTGGTTTGACAGACATTTTTTAAATGCCTGAGGCCAAACAAAACAATTCCTCTTTCAGTTTTCACAGAACGGCCGTGTCTGGGCACTCCTTCAACACTTAGCCTTCAATTCCTGCTAGTGCAGAGCCTAATGATCAGCCAAAGGTGACAGTTTATCTTCTTCTTTGGTCCAGCCCTGGGCACATGTGTGGCATTTTACATTCCCTGTTATTCACGGAAGTTTTTCAAACCCTTTATTGCACAAAGTAATTCTCTTCTCACCTTTTCGTCAGAGGCTTTTGGTGTGTCTATTGTTAGACCCAACAGTCATCTTTTGCTGCAAGAAGGATCCGTTTGTTCATTTTTCTTTTAATGTGGTCCATCGGGGCCCGCTACATAGGTGCTTTTCCACCCTGAGAGAATTCCAAGTTATTTGAAATAAATGTAAGAACTTTGTGTCAGCCCTTCAAGAAATCCCTAGACATCATCAAATGAACATCATTTCTTGGGAGCAAGATCCACTATACTCCTTCTGGAACCAAGTATCTCATCCAGAAGTATCAGCCGCCATCTTCGAAACCACAACTGCCCCAGGGAGAGAGGTTAGGTAAGGTTAAAGCACCACCAAGCTCCCCTAAAATGTGAACTCACCTTTTTGTTGATTCAACATTTACTTGGTTAAGCTTTGTTTGGTTCTAGTTGTTAATTAAGGTGTGTTTGGTTCCAGGCTCAGTTACTGTAAACTTTGACTATTTTTCAGAGATCTGATAAATGATTCAACTTTTGTTCCTTTTTAGTGTTTGCACAGAGGAACGAGACCTTGAATCCCCCATGCTGACGCTTTAACGGATATCATGTCTGGGCTTTCTTTTTAAAGTAGAGGGAAAATATTAGACCAGAAAGTGGCTGTGTGGTTGGTGGGGTAAGACACTGACCCCAGTTACTGCCCCTGAGGTATAGGGGGTGTGAGAAAAAAGAAAAGTGACTTCCTTGGATTTGAGAAGGCAATGTCCCCAGGAACAGAGCCAAGCTTCCATGAGTCTGCAGGATAGAGGAGCACGCTGAGAAGAGATCGCCTACACATTTTGAGTTCCAGAGGGCACAGTGAAAGTGCTGAGGTGTGCACAGGAGGTTTGGGTGGGGCGACAGAGTTGGGGGAAAGGATGTTCAGTCTCTGGTGCTCGAGATTAAGCTTTGTTCTAGCCTCCGTAAGCAGATTTCACAGGTGCAGCGTGGTATCTGTTAGACATACAGTGTACGTTTTCTCCTGTCATTAATTAGTATACTGAATTTCATGAATATGTGTCACACGATCAAGCCTTCTTACATTGCTATCCTTCATAGCTGGAGAAAGGTCTGGTCTTGGTGAAAGGACCTTCTGCGTCTGAGCAAAGATGCCTTGTCCTTTCCTCCCCTTTCTCAGTTTCTTACCCCTCCACCCACAAAGCCACCTTCTGGCCTAATATTTTCTCTCTACTTTGTAGGAGGGACTGTTCACAAGACGGATCTAACAGGTGTCCAGCTTGGCCCTGCATTTCTGCCATCATCTCGTTCATATAGTCATTGAACTGACACCCCCTGAGTGACTCTCAAGTGCCAGGCCCTGGGGAAGCAGCTTGTGTGCCTGGTGACTTAATCTTCCATTCATTGTGTATATATTTCATAACACCTCTCAAACCCTGCCTGTCCTCTGCAGTTTTACTACGAGCCCTGTCAGTGTGAATGGATCAGAACACGTCATCAAGTATGGTCTTTCGCGCTGCACACCATTTTGAGTGATGTTAATGTATTGACTCCCTTAACAGACACACAACCCATTTCCTAGGTGAGGCAGTGAAGGCTCCATGAAGCGATGGCATGCTCACCTCCTTCTCATATAGAAACTATGTTTTGCATGGAACTAAAGAGGTTCCTTTCCCATCTTTAAAGAACAAAACCTGGGGACATGGATGAAGCTGGAAACTATCATTCTCAGCAAACTAACACAAGAACAGAAAACCAAACACCACATGTTCTCACTCATAAGTGGGAGTTGGAACAATGAGAACACATGGACACAGGGAAGGGAAAATCACCCACCGGGGCCTGTCGGGGGGTGGGGGCCTAGGGGAGGGACAGCATTGGGAGAAATGCCTAATGTAGATGCAGCGAGCCACCACAGCATGTGTATACCTATGTAACAAATCTGCCCGTCAGTATAAGAATAAAAAAAAAGAACAAAACCTGCCATGAGGTGCTGCTGTCACTAGGGGGCTGTAGAGGCATGGACTGTGACTTCACGCAAGGCTTGTAAGCCACCTGGAGGAAAACCCCTGTGGGTCGTGGTGTGTCTTTATGGTTTCCAACTCATGCACTTGCTTGGTGACTTCACAAAGGACATTCCTAAATGAAGAGAATGGATCCACCACCCTTTCTAGACACAGACATGGATAGTGGTAACGGTGGTGTGGCCAAGTGTCTTTCCAGAGACAGACACAACAGTGGTTCATCCCAGGTGCTGCTCTACACGGTGGCCTTGATGGCGTCCCATGGAGAGGTGGGGTCTATGTCCCTTCCCCTGGAATCTGGGTGGGCCTATGGCTGCTTCCAGTGGTGAAGTTTAGTGGGAATGATGGTGAGGCTCAGTCATGAAAGGCAGTGCAGCTTCTAGATTGTTCCCTGGTATACATACTCTGCGAGCCCCCAAGCTGCCTATAAGAAGTCAGCATTCCATGGGGCTGCATGCAGAGGCCACGTTGGGATGCTGTAGTCCACAGGGCCCAGCCTTGGAGTCCTCCCAGCCAGACAGGAGACATGCCAGTGAATGATCCCTCAGACCACTGCACCCTCCACCTGCCTGAGCATGCCCAGCTGAAGCTTCAGGCAGCAGGAAGCAGAGATACCACAGTCCACTGTCCCCTGCCTCAATTCCTGACCTGCTGAATCTGCATTACCCACTTGAGGCTGTTTTAAAGCACCTCATTTGGGACCATTTGTTATGCAACCACCGTAACAGGAATAAATGGTAATGGCTACAACTGCAATGCATTTCACCTCCATTAACTCAATTAATTTCAACTCCATTAACCTCTCCTGACAAGCTGGCAGGACTCTTACCGTCCCCAGTCCCCAGAGCTGGCAAGTGATTGGTCAGAAGTCACAGCCTAACTTACTCTGGGTAACAATGAAATCACGGGGTCAGAGGACAATGGCAAGGAATGCATTTATGGGATTTCAGTTTTTATTTAGCAAATGTGTGAGGGACCTTGGAGAGACAAACATAAAACTCCACCCCCAAACCGGAAAGAATGAGTAGCAGCAAAGACACTCAGGGCAACTCTCCAGACCACCCGAGATTCCGAGCCAGTGGCAGCAAACAATTTTGAATGTAAGTAATAGCCTCCAAGAGGTTGAAGCTTTTACTTTGGGCATATGATGCTCGATAGCATTAAATTAATTGCACGACTCCACATGAACAGGAAAGAAAGAGAAGCTGAGAGTAGGAGAAAGACAGAGCTAGTGTAGGACATGAGACAAGTCAGGGGCAGTAGGGGAGCACAAGCTGGGACTGCACAGTCTTTCCTGACCCCTGCCCAGCACGGTTCAATGGCTCCTTATTGCCCCAAATTTCTCACATGTATGTGGATATACATATACACACTTGCCTTCACTGGTTTTTCATTCTAAAACTAACAAGCAAGTGCTTGCCATAAAAAACATTCCACAATACAAAAGCCTATAAGTCAAAAGGTGTAAAGCACAGAAATTCCTTTTTCCCCAGTCCCACCCTGTGGTAGACAGAATTGCAGATGTCCCCCAAGATCCCCATTCCTGTTATGCACATCCCGTAAAATGCCCTTCCCTTGGGGACAGGAGGGAGCTGTGACTAAGATGGTCTATCACTCCTGCCAGTGGGTTAGGTACTTGGCAAAGGTGAAAAGATTCTGCAGATGGAATTAAGGTACCTATTCAATTTGGCTTTGAGTTCATCCAAGGGGAGACCATTCTGGGTGGCCCTGACCAAGC